CCTGGGAGGAGGGGGGCGGAGGGGGCGGGGCGTCGGGAGGAAGCGCCCGGGCGGAAGGGGCGGGGCGTAGCGAGGCGGAAGCCCGAGGCTTCTGGAGCGGGCGTGGAGGGGCGGAGCCGCGAAAGGGGCGGGGCGGCCTCGCTCAGAGCGGGTGGTGGTGGCGGCGGTAGCGGTAGCAGCTTCGCGCGGCGGCGGCGGCGGCGGCGGCCGTGGCAGCGATGGAGGGCGGCGGCGAGGACTACAAGGCGTTCGTGGCGCTGCACGGGCCGGCGTTGCGGGCCTCCGCCATCCCCGAGCGCTACTGGGGCCGCCTCCTGCACAAGCTGCACCGCGAGGTGGGGGCGCCGGGGCCGGGGGAGGGGGCGGAAGGGGGCGGGGCGAGCGTGAGGACCCGCCCCAGGGAGGAGGAGGGGGGCCACCTGGCGGGCTGTGGGGGGGGTCCCCTGAGGATTCCTCTTTTGCACCCAGTTCGTGCGGGTGGGGGCAGGAGGCCGGTCATCCAGCACTTAGTATGCTCCTAGTGTGTGCCAGGCAGGCACGGGGCAGTGGTCTGGGTGACCCTCCCCCCACGGGGGCGTCGCTTCCCTCTGCGTAGCGTTGGCACACAGCAAGCGCTTAATAAATGTTAACCGGCTCTGTTTGCGGGCGGCATCCTTGAGAGGGGAGGGGAGGGTCTGAGGGCTTTGAGGTCTGCGATCGCCCCCCAACCCCCTGCGGGCACGGAAGGGTTGGTCCCTGACCCTGTGTGGGTTTTCTTGCCGGAGAGACCCTGGAGCCGGCCGTCCTTTCCGGCTCATTTCACAGGTGAGGAAACTGAGGCAAACAGGGTGAAGAGACTTGGCCAGGGTCACACCCCAGTGAGTGTCTGAGGCCGGGTTTGGAGCCAGGAACGTGAGTCTTCCCGACTCCAGGCTCTATCCACTGCACCGCCCAGCCGCCCGCACAGAAGTGTGCCAGGCATTAATTCCCTGACCAGCAGAAGTCATCCAGACCCCCTGGCCTGTGGGCTTCGGGAGGTGGGAGGACCTAGGCTTTGGACTATGGGGTCCCAGGGCAGTTTGAGGCTAGTCCTGCCTGGACTGGTGAGAGCCGGTCACCTCGCCTCCCTCTCCTGACAGGCTTCCCAAGAGCAGAACTAAATAGAAGACCATGGGAGAGTGTCCTCCTGTCCAGTAAGTGCTCCCTTAGGCCTGATGCTGCCCAGGGGTCATGCCGGGCCCCCCTCGTTCTCCTGGGGTTTGAGAAAGCACGCTCACCTTATCAAGAAGGCACTCGTGGAGGGGCAAGAGGAGGTCAGGGCAGCCAGCGTCTAAGTGCCTTGGCCCGAGCCAGGAGTGAGTGAGCTCAGCCCAACAGGAGGCAGCATCCAGGTTACACGTGGGGAAGGGCCTCGCCTGGGCCAGATCGGGCTGGAGATGGCGGCTGACTTTGTGCCCCCAGACTGCAGGCTTGTGGGAGGGCCTGAGGAATGGAGGTCTCCACTACTAAACAGAATTGGGGCTAAACTGCTGGCATTGAGCCATGACCTCTCTAGGTGCAAGTGTTCTGAGTTCTTGAGAGAAAGCTTTGGGACCCACGTTCTAGAGTTTGCACCAAAGAGCCTGGAGATCTGTTGGCAGAAAGTGAAGTTGTGAGAGGAGGGGAGGGGAGACAGGACCCCTCCCAGGAAAAATCTTGCTTTGTTCCTGCTGGAAAATTAGAGTCATCCTCCCTCCACCTGACCACTGCTTATGTATTTAGCTTTCAGCAGATTTCAGTTTGCACATGGATTGTACTGTCACCTTCCCTTTCATAGCTCACCTGATTGCTTTTGTGGGAGCTCTGGAGCAATTAGCAGAAAAGGTAGTCTTAGCTAGGGCCTGGGCACTTGTGGCCACTGGAAGACGAAGTCTGCTGACTGACTAGGGAGGCAGCTTGTTAAGACGAAGTCTGGTGACTGACTAGGGAGGCAGCTTGTCAGAATAGGTTCAAAGGGAGAAGAAAGGATTTGGCTGGCCCCTTCTCTTCCCCCCACCCCCATTTCATCTGAGTGGGGGGGGGTGAGGAGGCAGCAGTCTTGGGAAGGTTGGGGGAACTAAGTTTTGTGAAAGAAGACTAGAGAAACAGACCACCCTCCTTCAGGCATTCCTAGCACTGGGGCGATTTGCAGGGGATGGTCCATTCAGACCCTCTGGGACGTCCTACTCCACAAATTTCTCAGATCTTCCTGCTCTGCCTCTCATCAGCAATGTGAATAAGTGGTTTCCCCTGTGTTCTCCATTTCCTTGTATCTAAAATGAGAGAATTGGACCAGTTGATCTCTTGTGATCCCTTCTGGCTCTGGGGTGTCTCTCGGAGTCCTCCGGGCGGGCCCTCTGGGCTTCTCCAAACAGGCTCCACACCTTCTTCCTAGACCTGCAGAGTAAGCTCTGATGTAAGCTCCAATGGCTTTGGAGCTGGGAGGAGGAAGGCACTCGAGCACCCCAGTGAAGGAAGGACTTAGCTGCTTAAAAAGGAGGAGAGCTTTGGTAGGAGAATTGTAGGCTTGTTGGCCAAAAGGACACTGAGGGAAACCCGATTTGAAGCGGCAGTCAGACTTGACCTGCACTACCAAAATTCCCCAAATTGTTGTATTTCTCAGGAAGACCTGTGTACACATCCTGCCTCAGACATTTACTGACTGGGTGGCCTTGGGCAAGGCATTTCACCTCTGCCTGCCTCAGTTTCCTCAGCTATAATATGGGGATCATAATAGCACCTACCTTGCAAGGTTGTTGTAAAGACCAAAGGAACTCATACTTGTGAAGTGCTCGGCGCTGTTGCCTGGCGCATAGTAGGTACTCTAGAAATGCTAGCTATCATTTAGACAAAACCTCATGTGCAAAAATACAGAGGGGCATAGGGGCGTTAGAATTTTACAGAGGTATTCTTTACTGTGCAGAAGGATCTGTGGTGTGCTTTTAAATAGTTGATTCTTCTAGGAATGTACAACACATTGCAGAAACCTCTTAAATCATTTTGCTTCTAGAAACTTAATAGCAGTGTGATTCTGGACCTTGAACCCGGTTCTGCATTTGTTTTCCTTGTAGAGTGTTAACCATCCGTAAACTGGGGGTTAACACTTGCCCTTCCAACCTCATTAAGTTGTGAGGAAAGTGACTTGTAAACCTACTTAAAACACAGTAGAAATGAACCCTTTGCTTAAAGTTTAGTTTGACAAAAATCTCAAGTAAAATGAAACTTTCCAGAATGCTGACTCCCTTGTGTCAGGTAGGTTGTGGAAAGCAGTGGTGTCAGATTCAAATAGAAGCTGGGACCTTATTCTAGACAATAAGGGCACACATTGACTTGATTTTAAAGTGTAATGCTTATCTATGTTTTATTGTATTTTATTTATTTTGCTTTGTACATAACAAGTGTCTATGTTATATGTCGTTATCTGTGATGTATATTATATATTTACACATTTTGATCAAGTTCAGGTGCACTAGGAAGTGTTAAGGGGCATGTTCAACACTTGTGCAAAGTGTTATTTTTCCTCTTTTAACAGATGAGGAAACTGAGGTACAGAAAGGTACTATGCCTTGCTCGTGGTTGTGCAGCCAGGAAGTGTTGGAGGCAGGATGTTGGGCCCTCTGTCTAAGGCTCCCTGTGCAGCCCCCATTATCTGGAGATCTGGCCAGGGAAGTCCAAGAACTGGAGTTTTCCCCCTCTCGCCAGTTTGATCCTAGGAACTTAGGCAAGGCTCTTCCTGTTCAAGCCCCAGGGCTCCCATCTCAAAGATGAGATTGTCCACCTAAGTTATCCCCACGGGTTTTTTTTTTCATCTCTAACTTATCATATAATATTTCACCTCCCCCTAGTATCCAAATTAAAAGCCTTAAAATGAAATTATGGAATTGCCAAATGAGTTGTAGAAGGTTAAACCTGCAAGGAAGCTTTGCATTGCTATTAAAAATACTCAAATTCAGGGATATTTTTGTTTATAAGGCCCTTGAGTAAAGGTTTCCTTTTTTGAAAGGCTTGGTTCTCAGTCACTTTCTTGCCCTTAGAATTACAGAATGTCAGAACTGGAAGGAACCTTAGACATCTTTGAATTCAGCCCTCCATCTTTCCTTTCCTATTGAACTTCCTCAGCCCTGGCGGCTGGTTTTGTGTGATCCAGAGCGTGAAGCAGAGCATGAAGACCGATGGCTGGTTCAGTGGACCTAGAATCCAGCCAGATTCCTTTTCCAAAACCCTCTCTAGAAGGGTGTTATTATTAGGATTAATTATAATAATTGTACTGATGACTCACTCCGTCAGCAGATACAAATAGGGCCTTGTTACTGATGATGACTCTTGAGAAGCTAGTACTGACAACTTCTAGTAATTAATCCTCTGAGTTCCTGTGGTTTACTGGAAAGAGTATTGGAATTGGAGTCCGGAGAAACCTGGATTGAAATTCCACTTCTAGCATTACTGGCTGTTTGGCCACAGGCAAAATCATGTGATCCCGGGAGGCTCCTGTAAGGACGTTGTGATGGCTGTGAATCCTTTAAAGAAAGCTCTTTGGTCCCGAGCTGCTTTCAGGTCCTGGGGAGATAAGGGAGGTCCAGAGCTCTAGGGAGGGAATCCCCACCGACGAAGCACTGCCTTTTCAACCTAAAATAAAAAACTAAGGATTGTTTCGTGTAGTGATTTTTAAAGAAATTGATGCTTTAGGTCCCCAAGGCATCTTTATTTAAAGTTTAGGAAGCGCACCAAGCATCTAGATAGAAAAATTCTGTAACCACAGATAACTTTACTTCCCCGTGGTTGGGTTGCTCCCTCTAAGACATTTGGAAAGTCCATTTGCTTCACCTGGAGAAGAGAAGATGCAGGCGGGCGTGTTCTTGATCTTCAGATGTCTAAAGGGCTCTTGGGGGAGAGTCAGCTGAAAGTTACAAGGAGATAATTATCAGCTCATTATAGACCTGAGGTAGGGTGCTTCCTTAGGGGGGAAGCGGGCCTGGCACCTTCACACCTGCTGGATTATAGAACAGTATCATTGAAATGAAGTGAGTTGATCGTGGTTAAAAAGAGAAAAGTAAATCAGAAGAACGGGACAGATATAGAGAAACCGGAAATCATAAGCAGCTGCTTGGTGTTTGATGGACCCAAGAACAGAGTATTTGGGGAAGGCCTGCTTCTGACAGCAGCTCCTGGGAAAACTGGAAAGCAGCTTGTCAGAGATTGGGCTTAGAAACCAACGTTTTACTCTGTATACCATAAACTCCATGTGTACATACACACGTATATTCACCTATTAAACCTTATATATACTTGTATGTGTACAGTTGTTGCCCACCCCAGCACACGTGCCTGCAAGGAGAACGACGACAGAGGCCCAGTGGCCAGGCACAGCAGGCCCTGGGAGGGGGCAGGGCCGCTTTCTAAATGTAACGATCCGTGTTTGTGTGGTGCAAAATGACAGATAGGCGTTTGGAGGACCACAGGACAAGGCAAGGCCAGTGAGCAGCAGTAGGGCACATAGCCAGGGGCTACACCCCACACAGGCGTGAATGTCGCTGAAAAGAAACCAAACTCTAATGATCCCAGAGAACAGAAAATGAAACCTCTTTTTGTCTGCTGTGGGGTGGGCCGACATTTGGAGAAGAATGTGGGAATGTATTTGTTAGAGTTATACTCTATTATGATAATAGTTAGCATTTCTGTAGTGCTTTAAGGTTTGCAAAGCACTTTACAGATACTACCCTGGAAGGTAGGTGCTATTATTATCCCCATTTTACAGTTGAGGAAACTGAGGCAGGCAGAGGTGAAGTGCCTTGGCCAGGGTCACACAGCTAGTGTCTGAGGCAGAATTTGAACTTAGGTCTTCCTGCCTCCAGGCCCAGTACTCAGTCTACTGTACCATTTGGCAACCTTTCTTTGTTGCTTTTGCTTAACTGTTTTTCTTTGTTACGAGGAAGGATTGATTCAAGGATAGGGCAATATCTCAAAATGATTTGACATTAAAAACAAAAGGTAACAGTAAAACATTTTTGAAATAAATTTTAAAAGGTTGGAGATCTCAGAAGAAATTAGTGTTAGCTTAATGTCCCAGAAAGCGTTTAGGCTAATGGAAGGAGCACTGGCCCTAGAGGCTGGAGACAGGCTCCTTACAGTAGCAAGTTAGTCATCTCATCTCTTCCAGCCTCAGTTTCCAGGCCTGTAAAAATGAGGCTAGTACACCAACTTCCTCCCTGGATTGTTTTGAGGAAAACTAGATCTCACTGTTAACGTCCTGTTGAACTTGCAAATTTGTTAAAACCCTGAGATTGTTTTCAACCAAACTATTCTCTAACCATACTTTCCCATCTTGTAACAGAGAAGTTGATTTTTTTGAATCCAAGCATTAGGCAATTGCATTTGTTGCTGTTAAATTTCATTAGTAGATTTGGGCTGGGCTTCTAGGCTGTCAGGATCTTTAGAATTTTGACTCATCCATCATGCTGTCTCTTCTGGATCTGCATGATAGATTTGATCAGCTTGCCATCTAATCCTTTATCCAAGTCACTGATAAAATGGTAATCAGTCAGCCAGCATTTATGAAGTGCCTACTGTTTGCTAGGCACACTTCTAAGAACTGGGGATAGAAAAAAAGGGAACAAGCTCTCAGCTCACAGTCTGATGGGAGAGACGACTTACAAATAACTGTATACAAAGAGGAAAGAGACAGGCTGAAATGGGAATGGTCTCAGTCTCAGCCATTAAGATTAAGGAGGGCTGGGAAAAGCTTCTTCCAGAAGGTGAGTCTTTTGGCGGAAGCCAGGAGGTGGAGATGAAGGGGGAGGGTACGTCGGGCAGGGGAAAGCGAAGGAGATGGAGGCTCATGGAGAAGGAGCGGCCAGGAGACCGGTGTCCCTCGGGTTCGAGAAGGCTGCTGGGCAGGAGGGCTTTAAAAGCCAGACGGAGGATTTTATGTTTCACCCTGGTGGGATAGGGAGCCACTAGTATTTATTGAATGGAGGTGTCGTGGTCAGACCCGGGCTTTAGGAAGATTCATTTGATGGCTGAGTGACGGGGAGCTCAGTGATACCCTCGACAGTAACAGGGAAAGAGGGTGTGAAAGTCGGTATTTCTAGTTGTCAGTAACTTGTTTTCAGATATTTCAGTTTAGCACTGACTCATGTTGCAGTTCCAACTCTCCCACTTGGTATCCATGTGACTAGCCTGCTTGGGACCTCAGTTTTTTGTAAAATGAGGAGGCCGGAATAAATGATCTCAGCGGTGCCTTGGAGTGCTGACGTTCCTTGACCCTCTTTCTCTTGTGTAAACCCGGTCGAATGACGTTGGGGGCATCCTAGCATAACCGTGTACGGTATCTTTGACTGTCACAGTCTCAACTGACTGAGTACTTCTGATCTCAGATATTCGATGCTGGTGAGATGTTTGGAATCATGCAAGTAGAGGAAGTTGAGGAAGATGAAGAAGATGATGAAGAAATGCAAGAAGAGTTGAAAAAGAAACCAAATCCAGGAAACGAACTCTGTTATAAAGTTATTGTGACCAATGAAAACGGACTGCGAGCGAATGATCCCAACAGGTAGGTGTCCATTGGAGAATGTCGGGTAGGCTTGTACCCAAACTGGTGCCACCCATCCCTTGGGGGTGTTTTCTGCCGACACGGGGGGAGGAACCGAAGCAGAACTCTGTTGAGTGTGAGCTTCACGTTAAACTTAACTTGTCTAGCGATATCTGTTCAGCATTACCAGCACACAGCTCACACTGGGCCTGTGAAGGGGGCGTCGGGCATGGAGAATGAAGTGAAGAGCTGGTCACGGTGACGTGAACCATGAAAAAATAGAATCTGTTTCTTGGCACGGCCTGGTGAGGAGCTCTGTAGGTGGGTAATGCAAGAATTCGGGGTAAGGGGTAGAGAGGCTTTTTTGGTAATAGAATTGTTTAGTTTGAAAAAGGTGGGAAAGCAGGTCGTGGGATGGCTTGACAAACAGACTTCACTGAAGGGAAAGAATATTTCTGTTGAGTGGTAGCAAGCAACTCATCTTAGTTATAGTACAATCCTTTAAGGTGCTATATTATATCAACATGTGGAATTTCTTCTTGAAGAAAAGCTCTGAGAAGTGACTTCTGTGAAATTTCCCTTTGTCCTTTCTTTGCAAAGACAGAGGTTTTTCCCTTTCTCCCCATAGCCAGTGTTCTGCATCCTCTGTCCTCAAAGTAACAAAACCCAGCTGTTCCCCCACTAACATTTCTGTAGAAAGTCTGGAAAAGGCAAAGCGTGTTCAGTGTCTTTTAAGAAAACTGCTTCTGTGGAAGTCGCTGCCCTAGGGAATTAGGACTGACAGCTGGGAGATCTCTTCCCCCTCTGGCTTTCTGGGGCTTGAGTTTGAGGCGGGTGGGGTTAGGGCAGCTCTGAGAATCCCTGAGCCCCCCAGGCCTCCTTCTGTCCGGCCCAGGTGCCAGGTTCCCAGCCCAGGTGTCCTTCGCTCCTTCCTCTCGGTCTCTGTGTCCCACCAGTTGTCTTGGAGCCCCTCTTGGCACCGGTCAGCCACTGCCTGAGCCACGTCTCCTGAACCACGGCACTAGCTCTTCATAGCCCAACCCCTTCCCTGCCCCCTTTAGTCTTCCTGCGTGCTTTACTCTATGAACCAGCTACTTCCTGTTCCTTGCTGTAGCAGAGCGCACAGACAGCTGGACTCAGAATCAAAAAGACTTGAGTTCAAATCCTGCCTCAGACACAAGTCATTGTGCCTCTCTCTGAGACCTGTCTAAATGCTGCAGGCACCTCTCTAAGATGGGCAGTTTGGAGAAGGTGCTAACCTATGACCTACCTGAGCACAGAGAAGTCCCTGTAGCAACAGAGACTACAGACCCTACCTGTGGGGTCGGTCCCTATCCCTGGAGGCCGCTGCTGTGGTCACATGATACACAAGCTTAGAGTCAAAGACCCTCTAGTCCAGCCGCTTCGTTTCACAGAGAAGAAATCTGGGATCTCAAAGGTTAGGAGACTTGCCCAGGTTCACCCTGTTCGTACACAGTAGAACTAGGATTGGGGCAGCTGGGTAGCACAGTGGACAGAGCACCAGGCCTGGAGTCAGGAAGCCTCATCTTCCTGAGTCCAAATCCATCCTCACATACTTACTAGCTGTGTGACTCTGGGCAAGTCACCTAATCCTGTTTGCCTCTGTTTCCTCATCTACTAAAACGAGCTATAGAAGAAGGATAGCGCAAACCACTCCAGTGTCTTTGCCAAAAAAACCTCAAACGGGAGCTGCAAGAATCAGACACGACTGAAAAACGACTGAATGACAACAACAAAAGCTGGAATTGGAGCCCAGGTCCTCCAGCTCCCCAGTGCAGGCCTCTCTCCACTGTACCGTGATGCCTCGTTATCCTCTGGCTCTGGAAACACTGACCGAGAGGGGATGAGGGTGACCAGTGGGCGAAAGGACTGGAGATGGCTTAAAGGGTTGAAGACTGAGAGGGAGGAGATGGCAGCTGTCGTCAGAGATTTTGAAGACCTGCTGTGTTAAATTGGGATTGGCCCTGTGGGGCAAAACGGGGGGTGCCGGGTAGAAGTGGCAAAGAAGCCTATTTCAGCTTGATGTCACAAAAGTTTTTCTCGCACTAAGCACCCTTCCAGAGCGCAGCAGGCAGTATTGGGATGTGGAGGATTCCTCCTTCCTCTTTGCTACTGGAGGTTGGGGGACCATTTATTGTAGAGAAGATTTTTGGTCAGGTAAGGCTGGACTTGATCATTTCTGTGGTCCTAGGCCTGTAGATAACTCTTGGGATGTGAGGAGTGAAGGAAAAGACCGTGGTTGGAGCCTAGGAGTGTGGGGGAAGTTTCGAAGGCTCATGGATTCTCAGAGCCAGAAGGAACCTTAGGAATGATGTAACTCACCTCTTTAATTTTCAGATGACAAAACAGGCCCAGAGAAGGGGGGACAAAACTCACTTAAGGTCATGCCACCACATGGTGCCAAGCTGGACTAGAAGCCTGTTTCTTAACTGCTGCTGTATTGTTCCTTCTACCATAACCACTCTTACCCTCCTAATTAATACTGCAGTTTCCAGGCTAACATTTTTATTGTGACTTTACTGCCCTTAAGGGCAGTCTCTACCCATAGAGAGTTTATGTAATAATGATATGATAATGGTAACATGTAAGTAAATAGATACAGAGATTAGATGGAGAGTAGTAGTGTAAGTGGGGGGTGCCGTGGAAAATCTCCTGAAGGTTTGAGCTGAATTTTTAAGGAGCCCGAGGATTCTAAGAAGTAGAGAGATAAGAGAGGGCATTCCAGGGTGGGAGGACAGCCAGTGCAAAGGTGCAGAGATGGGCAATAGAGCGTCACGTGATGGCCAATGTAGTTGGTGATGGAGTACTCATGGTCACGTGTAAGAAGACTTGAATGTTTCTGTCCTCTGCAGATGGAAATGTGTACAGGGTAAATACAGTGCGGGTTCACTGGTGGGGGAGTGAGGTCCTCACACCTTAGGAGGATTAGGAACGGTAGAGATGTTACTTGGGTCATGCTTTGAAAGAAACGTGCCCTACTAAGAGGGAGGGAAGGCCAGGGGGAGAAGGTTCCAGGCCTGGGGTCAGCCCGTACAAGACCACTGAGAAAAGCAAGAAGTCTAGAACGTGGGCTAGAATGAGGATAAAGGTGGGGAAGGACTTTGGGTGGCAAACAGGAGTTTGTATTTGATCCTGGAGTTTGCTGAGAGAAGGATGACATGGTCAGATCTGTACTTTGGAAAGTCATTTTGGTAGCTGTGTAGATGATGGACTGGAAAGGCCAGGGAGTGTGAGGTGAGGAGGCCACTGAGGGCCTGCACCAGAATGTTGGCTGTGGGGGTGAGGAGAAATAGCAAGGTGTGGTGACCAATTGAATGTGTGGGCTGAGGGACAGGGCGGTGTGGAGGAAGGACATCAAGAATGAGAACCTGGTGATCAGGAGTGTGAAAGTAACCTTTTCCTCTGCTGGGCAAGGCGGGAGAATGAATGAATGAATGAATGAATGAATAAATACCTTTCAAAGGAAAGACATTGAAGGCAGAGGGCAGCAGGGACAGGGAGGAGAAGAGGAGAGGAGGAATGAAGAATCAAATCTGAAGGAAGAGAAGAAAGTGAGGCCAGATGAGTGGGGTGGATTGGGACTGGAGGACTGTGGGGAACTTGGCCTTGTCACCCACCTGCCTGCTCTGCCCATCAGATGGAGGATGGCGCGGCCCCCCGGGATAGCTTCCCTGCCGGGGGCCTCTGGTGCTTCCTGTATGACTCCCTGCACTATCCACAGTGATGCCTTCTCATTCTGATGCAGCAGCAGCTGCCCACCAGGGCCTGAGAGGCTGTGGGCTTCCACGCTCACCTCTGCAGCCTGCCCCTCTCCTGGCGCTTTGGCGTCATCCTTCTGTGGCTTGTGGCCACTCAGAATTGGGCTCTGCTCTCCCTCAGATCACCGTGAATGGTGTGATGGGCACCAGCCCCTCGGGCTGATGAGGGGCCTAGATGGTGGCCCTGAGCCATGAGGAACACCTGTAGGGATGGCTGGTAGTTCTCTGTTGCGCCCCACCACTTACCAACTGTGGCCCTTGGCCTTTCTCTACTTTTCCTCTGCCCCTCCCCTTCCCGTCTTCGTCTCCTCTCCCACAGCCCTGTGTTTTCCATATTTTGTGTCCGTCGGGGCACGATGACGGACAGTCTTATGGCCTTGGTGCTGCCATGAGACAGCCGACGGGGAGCCATAAGCCGTATGAGTTCTGCGTGGCCTGATAATGGGTTTTTTGTTTGTTTTGAAGCATATTTCTTATTGACCACGCCTGGACGTATCGCATAGAACACGCCCGCCAGCAGCTACTGCAGGTTCCAGGGCTGCTCCACCGAATGGCCAACTTGATGGGCATTGAATTTCATGGAGAAGTCCCAGATGAGGGCTCTGTGGAACTTGTTCTGGAAGAAATGTGGAAGTACAATCAGACCTACCAGCTCTCCCAAGGGGTAAGACTGAGGTTCACGTGTTCTTGATGCTGGGCACAGTAGACCCTGAGGACTGGCTCATTGTAAAGCTGAAGGCCCCGTGCCTTGTCCCTGTGCGTAAAGCACTGGGAACTAGGCGCTTTCTGAAACAGCTGGGCCAGACCGTTGTTTGACAGCTCCCAGAGGTGTCACTTTAGGCTCTGATCAGAGGATATGAAGAGGGAAGGAAACTGAAGGGGAAAGTTGTTCTGCTTGTGTCCTACTGCAGAAATCTGGGCTTCCATCCACACCTGCTTCCCCAGCTGAGAGAGAGCACTGCCACACCTTAGCTGATGCTCTTTTTCCTCACTTGCCCTGGCCACCCTCTGGTGCTAAGCCTCTTCTCCTCCCCAAACAGTCCAGCTGCCAGGCCTGTACTGGAAGCCTTTCCAGTTTGATGCAATGCCTCCCCCTCAAGAACCCGGGACCCACCTTGGCCACGGTGAGGTGGCAGAGGAAGGCTTTGAGGAAGGGTTTCCATCGTAGGACGAGAACGTGAAGGACCTGGAGCACATGGCCCAGCTTTGTGCTTAAGCATCAGCGGACAGCAGCTATAGAGCACCTTTGGCTTTACAAGGGAAAAGGTTTTAGCCGGCTGGTACGACATTTTCCCATGCTTGACTCTATCAGAAATAGAGGCGTTCTGGCTGTCAGTCGCCAGAGTTCTGCTGTGGCTGTTGATAGGAACTCGTGGTGCTTTTGGAAGCGTGCGGGCTGCTTCCATCTGCCCAAGTGAAGGAGAGGCAATGAGATGCCCATGCATCTGAATGTTGGTGATTCTGTGGAGCAACTTTTATTTATTCTTGTCGGACTATAAAAGTGCAAAGTTCACCATGGAAGGAAGAAAAGATTACTGTTATGTGTGTAGTTTTCCTTAGGTAGAGAGCATCTAGAAATGAGGAGAAATGCTTCTCGCATGGTCAAAAGAGTTTAGTCAAGAGAGTGAGCCAGAAGAGGGCCAGCATTCCCCAGACTCTGCCCTGATGCAGCTTTCTCTCCTATCTCTAGTGGGCCTCTACCCTAGAGTTGGCAGAAATAGCAGCCCTGCTTGCAGCTGTCTTGGCATGGCTTCTGGTGTATGCCTCTTGTCATGACATGTCCATGACGAACATGGAGGTGCACAGCTCTGGAGTATGGCCCTATCAGAAAAGGAATAGAAATTGGGCTTAGATTTGGGTGTGAGAACTATGTCTTGCCCCTACCTGCAGGCCCTTCTGATATGGCCTGGATTTGACCTGTGGTAACAGCATGGAATGAGCACCCTCCATTCTCCATCTCTGGGATGGGGCCTGAAATGTAAGGGAATAGCCCAAGTGGGACTTCCCAGGTTGGCTCTTCTAGCTGCAGGTCATTCTTCACCGTGGGTCCCTGAAATCACATTGTCCATCTGGCTAGTGCAAGTTTTGCTTTAAAAGTGTGGAGAATAATATTCCACTTGATTGTGATAATGAAAAACACATTGTGGGGATGGAATACTTTAATGAACTTACAGGTTAATACCATCTTGCTTCCCAAGCCCCTCAGCCCCAGCCTCAAAGTTTAGCGGAAGCTTGTGTGATAGAGTAGAAACATCATCAGGCTTGGGGCCCAGACCAAGGCTTGAATCCCACCTCCATCGCTTATCTGCTTTGTGACTCTGGACAAATCATTGACCCCTTTGGGCCTCAGTTCTCTGGCCCGTAATCTGAGATCAGATACTGTCAAATGAGTACGGCAGGAATGTTGTAAGAATCCAATGAGATGGAGAATGGGACCGTGCCAGTGATTTCCTTGGCAGCAGGAACTCCTACATGAGACAAATCCAACTTCCTGTGCAGGTCAGCCCCTTCCCTTGGGGAGTTGTCCAGAGCAATGAACAGTAAAGCCTGACTGCCCCAATGCCTCTATTTCTGACAGAGTCAAGTATGGGAAAATGTCAGCAGTGAAACTTTAACCAGGCTGCAGGGCTAGCGTTCAGTTCACTATTGTAAAGTTGTAAATGATAAAATAGTGTTCGCTGCATCAGCTGTTGCTATTACAGAAGTCCCCCATAGATTTTTTTTTTTAAGATCACCACTCTTATGGCTTCATCATGACATGGGGAAGGTGACCTCAGGTTTTGAAGGCTGTGCCAGCATGGCTTTACCAGTAACCCAACCTGGCTGGGCTTTTCAGTGTGAGCCATGGGTTAGACCAGAGTATTGGAAGAGTCCCATGATTTTTTTGGTCATTGTAACTCTGAAATTACAGACTTTCTGCTATGTAAAGAAAGATGAAGCCCACATCAGTGGAAGGTATACCACCAGTGGAATGATAGCTCCTTGAAATAATGCCATGTCCACTCAGTTACAAAAGTTAAACCCCCCCTAAAATACAAACATTGGTTCCCATAGCTGTGAGGGTAAGCTAAAACATATTGCTGTTTGGAAGCATGAGTCTTTATAATATGGCTTTTATATTCTCTCTGTCCGAAAAGACTGCAGAGGAAAAGGTTCCTGTGTGGTATATCATGGATGAATTTGGATCTAGAATTCAGCACTCGGATAACCCAAGCTTTGCAACAGCACCCTTATTTTATATGCCTCAGCAGATCGCCTACACAGTTCTTTGGCCCCTGAGAGACCTTGAAACAGGTGGTAAGTCTGCTTTTCCTTATTTGAGTCATTCCACAAACATTAGTGAAGCACCTGCTATGTTTCAGGCATTGTAGATACACATCCAAAAAAGGAAACAGTCCCTCTTCACCGGGAGACACAAGTGCACCTACACACGGCATAAAAATGCAGTTAATAAATGCACACTATATAAAAGAGTCAAATACAGGGTCCTCTGGGTAGGAGGGCACCAGCATTTGGGGGATAGAAAGGGCTTCATACAGAGGATGGTGTCTAAACTGCATCTTAAAGGAAACAGTCTCTGAGGCAGGCGAGCATTGCGGGCACAGGGGAGGGCCAGTACTCAGGCCCAGAGACAGGAGAGAGGCTGTTGCACGTGAGGATCAGAGAGCAGAGTAGTGCAGCTGTGTCGCCAAGTACAAGATGGGGAGTGATAAGGCTGGAAGGGTGAGTGGGGATCAGGTGGTAGAAGGCCAGGGGCAGTAGAGAGTCACATGATGTGGTCAGATCTGTGCAGAGGACAGCCTGGAGCAATGAGAGGCTTGAGGCAGGGACAGCAGGTAGTGACAGTCCTGATAGTCTAGGTGAGAAGGGATGAGACCCTGAGCTAAGGTGGCAGCTGAGGGAACAGAGAAAGGTCTGATATGATAGAAGGAGCGGGAGTTGGTGGCCGAGTGGACATGATGCTGAAATGGTGAATCTGGGAGGCTGGGGTGTTTTCAGCAGAAATAGGGAAATTTGGAAGGGGGCTGCTGGGTTTGTGGGAAAAGAAAATGAGTCTGGTTGAGTTTTAGATCGTGTCTACGGCCCTTGTCGGTACAGGACTGAAGCCTGAGGGAGAAGCTGTAGCTGGCTGTTCAGACCCGGGAGCCCCCCTACACTGAGATGATAGTTAGACTTTGGGAGCTGAGGAGTCAGCGTGTGCGATGAGACGACAGAGGCAGAAGGGAGGGAAGCCACCAGAGCCAGGAGCAGCTGCAGTCTGACAGGAGGGGTCAGGAGGAGGCTCAGGAGGGACAAGAGAGAAGGAAGAAGGCAGCAGCGCCAAACACAGCAGACACGTTAGGAAGATCTTTGGAGGGAATGAGATTGAGGCGTGAATGAGAACAGAAAGTGCAGGCAACAGGTGGAGATAGGCCACTTTTTCTCAAGGAGTTTGGCCAAGAAAAGCAGAATGGCAACGGCATGATGGCTTGAGGGGATGATAGGGTCAGTGAAGGCTTTTTAAAGATGGCAGCCTTGGCAAGGAGAAGGGCGACCTCTTTGTCAGAGACCAGAGAAGAAGAGAAGAGAATGGATGATGATGTGAAGAGTTTTTGAAAGCGCTGATGGTGCACAGGATCCAGGGCTGAAGTTTGTCAGGAGGAGAGTGATGAGAAGAGGACCAGGGATCCCAGAGCGAAGGACGAGGCAGAAGTGAAGTGGCCAACTGCTGGATTGAGCTTGGAGAGGAAGGAAAGAGAAGTCACGTAGGAGGAATGGCCTGGGACAGTGTGGAGGGGTGGAAGGAACAGAGATCTCACTAAGTGTAAAAGCCAGGTGTAGAGGGTGCAGAGCCTAGGGATGAATGGCATGATGGGGAATTCTGGTCAGAGAACCCTTGTGGGTGATGGGAAGATCTAGCATGTGACTATCCCTGTGTTTGACTCCGGTGGGGTAGAAGAGTAGGCTGTGGGACTTAAAGAGATTGAGGAAATGGGAAGTTGGGGGGCTTGTGGGGGTATCAACCTTTTTTGTTTCCTGGCCCCTTTGGATGCACTCTGGTGAAGCTTATGAACCCCTTCTCAGAATCGTATTATTAAATACATAGGATTATGAAGGAAACCAATTACATAAATCAAGGTTTAGGTTTTTTTCCCATCCAAATTCATAGATTTCCAATTTACCAAGAGACCCCTTGGAGTCTAGACTGTAAGAAAGAACCCCTTATGAATATTACAGTCCCCTAGTATAAATGAGGGAGGGAGGTGGGGAGGAGAGGATCTTGGGGAGCCAGGTGCTAACTAAAGAGACGAGTCAGAATGAGCTGCCCTAATACTGACGGGCAGATTTCAAGAAAGAGATGTTTCTGAGTAAAGCAAGTGAAGGGAGAGTCTGGAAGTGACGGATCCAGGAGTGCTCTGACGCCCCACCAGGACCAGGGTGTGGGTGGAGAGCCGGTACAGCTGATGCCAGAGAGGATAGACAGGGAAGCGGTGGTCTCAGTGAGAGGGGGAGGACCAGAATGAATGGCACTTTGTTCACTGTGAAACAGGAATTCTAGCAGGCACAGGGTGGGATGAGTGTGGTTGGATTGGCATCTGGGCGGCGTCGAGTCGAGGGAGGTGAGGATGAGAGACTCTGGAGAGGGTGGGAGAAGCCATAGGGCTGATGGTGACCGACGAGAAGGCATCTTGCTCTCCTTCCATCCCCTCTCCCTGCTGTCATCCCTTTGAGTGTGCGACAGCTGCCCTCACAGGTAGTGGAGAGGTGCCAAGATCCTCGCTACCACCTACTAAACCATGTACCTTGACACAGAGGAGGTGACCCGGGACTTTGCCTATGGAGAAATGGACCAGCTCGTCCGGAAGTGTGTGTTGTTGCCGTGGGTTCCTGCAGACGTGTTGGACGTCAGCTCTTCCACCCCTGAGCCATCGGAGGAACACTACCAGGTATGATGGTGGTGAGCCCACCTGTGCTGGGCATCGTTTCAGGCCACCTTGAATGTTGTCCTTGCTCTACAAACATTAGGAGGCTATCTCTCAGACAGAGAGGCCTTTGTGCAGAAGAGGGGGCTTGGCCCAGACAGCTGAACCAGCACCCTCGGAGACAAGGTCGGCTTCAGGGTCAGGAAAAAAGTCTCAACTGCCTCAGCTGCCGGTGCCCTGTGCCTCCCTGGGTGCTGTTCTTTGGAGCATACCCCATGTGGGTGCCTCCTTCACAATGCCAGCCCTTGTATGTACAGAAGAGGCCCCCCAGGTGAAGTCAGGAAGACCTTGCTTCAGATCCTGCCTTTGTGACCTTGGGTCAGTTTGCTCACTATCTGTCTCGTGGGATTACTGTGCGGTTCATGTGAAGTAATACACGTAAGGTCCTTTGCAAATTTCTTAAACACTGTAAATGTTATTATTAGTCTCTTCCTGTTGTGGGAGCACCGTTTAGTAGTGGCCCCAATAAATGACTCACGTTTCTGCGCCAGAAGGCAGGGTCCCTATGAGACCATGGGAGCTGGAGTGGGAAGGAGGCTTAGACACATCTTCACCTTCCCTAGCATTCTAGACACCTCAAGGGTCAGTCTGGGGAAGCCTGGGGACCCTTGTTGGAATAATGCTTTTAAATGCATAAAATGATCTATGTAGGATTATAGAGGAAAGCAAGTCTATTGCAGTACAGTTGTCAGAATATTTTTAAAACAAGTCACAGGCTCCAGGCTGACCCCTGACCTCACCCAGCTCCCTCCTCACAGAGACAAGAAGGCTGACCCCTGCGAAGGTTAGGCAGCTTGTGCAAGGTCGCTTAAGTAGTAAGGATAACAGAAGCAGGATTCCAGCTCACATCCACTCGGCCTCTGAACTGAGTGTCCTCCCCACTCCCTCCTCTCAGGAACCAGGAAATGTGAGGGTTGGTCAGAAGAATGATGATCGTTCAGCCAGGGGAAAAGAAGAATGATAACAGCACCTTATAAAGGGCTTCCTCCCAGACTCTGCGACATTTTAACAGTTGTGTAAGTGGGAAGAGCTTTCAATACATGGGCCAGTGCTGGAGCCCAGAGTGCCAGCTGTCCTCATCGGTGTATGAGATGTAATGGGAATTGTAGCAATAACCCAGTGAAAGAGAGAAGGACCTCTGGTCAGCCTTCAGAAGGGCAGGAGAGGACCGCCCTTGAGCCTGCAGGCACCTCGCCCTCTTTGGAAGCCCCAGAATCCACTGGAAAGGCATGGCAGCGAGGTGCGCTGGCAGCGCGGACACCTGGGTTCTAGTCCCACCTCTGGTCACTTACTGTGGGACCTTAATGGAGCAAGGTCCCTCCCCTGTGGATCTCAGCTCATGGTGTTAAATAAGGGGCTTGGGCTAGATTGATGACTCCTAACCTAGGGCAAGACCCTAGGGGTGGGGGAAGTCTGTAGCAAGTGTCCCTGGGCACCGTGGCGTCTGAATTCCGAGGCAGGACACTGAACAAGAGGTCTGCAAATCGTTTAACTTCCTACTACATGGCTTCCAGGCTGCCCTCCATTTCTAACGTCATCCTGTGGTTCCGTGGCTGCCTCGCTGAGTGTCAAGACCTAAAGAGTCTACCCTTCTCTCAGGGGCCAGCTCACAGGCTGAGCTTCCCTCAGAAAAGGGTCTTCTGAGCTGAGAGAGACGGGAGCATCGGCTGGGCTACCGATACTGCCTCTTCCCGGCCGCTTGGAGCATGCAGCATCCGGCCCCAGGCGTACCAAGAGCTGTTGGGAAAACATCTCTGACTCACGAGCATTTGTGAGACTCTAGGCTCTTCCTGATGGAGCTGAAATATATCCCTGCCGGGTAGTTATCATTTCAGAGTCCAGGGAGGTTGAGTATCGTGTTGTCTAGCTAGAAGATGTCCATGTTGGTAAAAGGGAAGCAAATAGTCCATTATTTAACCCCATGTACATAGTTGAGCAAACTGAGGCCCAGCGAATGGCAGTGACCCTCCCATGGTCCTGAACTCAAAGAGTCTGAGTTTGGGCTTGGCCCAGCTTTTCTCCCTCCTGCTGCAAGGCTGGTCTGGAGGGAAGAGGAGGACCCAGTGGCCACCTTCAGAACTCTGAAACACTGTCACAGAAAAGAAGAATTAAGCTTCGTCAGGGCAGCTCTGGGAGAGGAACACAGGCTATTGGATTGAAGTTATAGGGGCAGATTTTTAGCTCTGTAGACGGACAAGCTTGCCATGAAGGCAGGATTGCCTGCTGGCTCTGGGAGTGTTGCTGCTTGTGCTGTGACCAGAAGCGAGTCAGAAGGTGACAGATCAGTGAATAATTCCCCTCCCCTCCCCCCCAGTTTTACAGAGCAGGGCACTGAGGCCTAAAGAGCTCACGTGACTTGCCCCACATCACCCAAGCAAGGTAAATGGAAGAATTTGGATCTCAGCCCAAGTCCTTTGGCTCCAAATCTGGAGCTCTTTGCACAAGAAGAAGCCTTCAGAGGTCAGCTAGTTCAGCCCCTTCATTTTACAGGCATGGAACCTGGGCTTCAGAGATAAGAAGTGACTTTCCTAGAGTTACATGGCAGTCACTGTTCTGCTTTGAGCCTCAGGTTTCACATCTTCCCTAACTCACCCTTGAGCTTGCCGGGAAGAAAACGCTGGGATTCCTGAAGCTTGGGTCAGCACATGTCAGGGGAGTGGTCCGAGGCCGGACTCTCGGTGCCTTCCAGCCGCTGAGGATTGGGAGTAAGAAAACTGAAGCAGGAAGCTGGCCGTTTGCATAGCCTGTCTAAGTCATTGAAGCCAAGATTTCTGAAAAGCTTTTTAATCTGGGGTTCTCTTCTGGGGCTCTACATCTTGCCTCAGTCCACAGTTTGGTCTCTGCAATAATAACCGGGAACTGAACAGCCCAGTGGAGCTGGATGGACGTTTTGCCTTCATTCTGCGTGCTTCTGTATAAAGAATAGGAACCCCGTGCTTGTACAAAGTGTGCTTTAAGCTGAGATTCTGAGCTTGTTAGAGCTTGAAGGGATTGGAGAAATCCTGTTGTCCTGCTTCGCCTTCTCGAACTCTCATGAAATGCTGTACATCAAGTGCCTTCGTTTGAAAGCTCTCACTTTAGAATTCTGGTGGTGGTGGTGGCAGCTGCAGCCCCCATGGTAACAGAGGAGGAAGCCGCTGTTTCCTGAGCCTGACTCCAGGCCTTAGCCTAGAGAGGTTTGGCGATGTGCTCAAGACATTGACCCAGTGGGCTGCCGAGCACAAGCTTGGGCCCACGTCTCCTCACTCCTAGTGGATCGCTCTTTTGGCCACAACCAAGCTACCCAGAGTTTCCTGTTTTCAAGATAGCTGTCTCCTAATCAGTATAGGAATTTTTTTCCCAAAATACTGTTTTTCATTTTTTTTAAAGTTTTCCTGATTGAATTTTCCGTTGGTGTAGTTCCGTGGATTTCTCAAAATACAGGACACAGGATTCTGGGCAGTGGGATGTGTCAGAAAGCGAAAAGGGAGTTCTAACACATCCTAATAATTTTGAGAAGTAAAAGAAACTTGACCATCAGTAACAAGGGTCTCCTGCATATGTTCTCCTCCTCCTAAGAGCTGGTGTGTTCTCTTTCCTCCCAGGCCATTTTGGAGGGAAACAAGGAGAAGCTTCCTGTTGGGATAAGTCCACCAGCTTACCCCAAAGGCCATGTTTTCAGGTACGTAAGTCCTTCCTCAAATTGCACAAGAAAGCATTTCTCTACCTTCGGTTTTTCCTGACCTTGAAGAACCTTTTCCTAATCATTTCATCCCTTTCTGGTCAATGGTCTGAGGGTGGGAGTAGCTACTGAGAATTGCCAAGGAGGTTTGGGGCAAAGGCAGCGGGAGAAGGATGTGAGTGTGAAGCAGGCTGAAGGGGATGGTCTGTGTCCAAAAGTCACGCTGCCCGGGGAGGACACGCATTCCGCTGGGGATGCTTTGGTTCCAGGGCTTCTGAACCTGGCTGAGTTGTGTTTTTAAATGCGTAGCATCAAACATATAAGATGCAAAGGAAGCCAGTTCTGTTGAGTCTTTTTTTTTTTAACAAAGAGTTCTTGAAGCTGCCTTCATAGATGGAGTCAGAGACAAGGAATTCTGCAAGTATTTCCACGGTGCCTTTGCACTGGAAAAGTGCTTCAGCTAAAGGATGTTTGCTCCAGTGGCAGGGGCAGTAGCTGAAACACTCCCTGGGTAAGTTCTCCCAGAATGAAGCATGCATCTCTTACCACTCTGAGTCACTTCAGTGACGCACAGCATCCGCACCAGCTGTTTGATCAGTTAAAAGAAGACAAGGCTGCAGTGGTGATATCTCAGTCCTGGTTCTGACTGCCGCCATCTGTGTGTGTGACCCTGGGGCAAGACCCCAGCACCTCATTCCTTTTTACTAATGAAGAAGCTGACCTGGACAAAGATCACTCTGTGAGTCAGGCCAAGCCCTGTGTTCAGCGCTGGCGATACAGAGAAAGGCGACAGATGCAGCTCACCGTCTGATGGGGGAGACGGGTGGGCGATGGAGGTGGCTGCCCTGGGTCCCCTCCTTCAGTGGAGGATCTGGGAAGGGCTCTGTGGGGACGCTGCTGGGAAGAGAGGTTTGGCTCCCGAGTCTTTCGTGTTGGGATCTTAGCTGATGTCGCTGGGAGCTCGAAGGAAGCGGTCTGTCATAGGTCTGTGTGGTGAGTGGTGCATCTTGGTGTAGGAGTCGGCCGCTGGACCTGTGAAAAATCACGCATTTAGGATACTTGGAATTGACTTGGTAGGATACAAAGAGACCTGCCCTTAGGGGGCATTGGGAAGGCCCTTAGGAGCCGGACAGTCCAGCTGCCCACGCCTTGCCCGAATACTGCAGGCTTCATCCCTAACGGGCATCAGTCTCTGCTCGAAGCTAAAATACTGTGACAGAAAGGGATTTCTCTGGATCCTCAGTCAGGAAGCTGTTGGCGTGCAGTAAAGAGTACATGTGGGCTGGGTTTTTTTTTTAACATTCAAGATTAAAGTAACAGCTGAGGTATGTGAGTGAGCCACAAAACTTGAGGCACAGCATAGTCTCCTTTGTGTACCTAGCTGTATGTTTTGGGCGTGTGGTCTCCTAAATTGAAACAAAAGTGGGGAGTAATCTCTCTTATTTTTAGCTGGGAAGCTGATGGTAGGAAGTACAGGGAGTTGTAAACTGCCGAACATGGGTGCTGGGAAAGGGTGGTTGTGAAACTTTGGGCAGGCCTGAGCCAAGCCCTGGCAGAAAGCAGGAAGAGCTCTCCAGGATGAGGCGTTCAGGCAGCCGTTTTGAACTGAAGGAAGGGTCTTAGGGGTACCTGTGACTGTCCTTACGTGAGGGTTGTCCTCAGGAAGGGAAGACTGCCCTCAGCTGGCCCAGTTGTAAAGTCAAAATACAGGGAAAAGAAGCTGGAGAAGAGAGAAGATGCATTCGAGGCTCCGTGGCGCTTTCTTGGCACTGCCCCAGATGAGGGAAACCACCTTTCTTTTAGGGACACCGTTGGTGCCTCTGTAGTGGCCATTGTTCATTTCCCATTTCAACCCAACACAGAAGACCGTAACATTTCCTGGGCCCCTGCCTTCTCCATTCCATCTTGAAGAGGGCTCCTGCCTTCCAGGGAAGGGAAGAAATGGCATTCTGTCAGCTGCCTGATCCAACTCCGCTGTACGGGTCACTCCCGCCTAGTCTCAGATTCTGAAAGTCTGCTGTCCTCCCTAACTCCCTCACAGTCCCCCAGAATGTCCCACTCTAAAACTATGCACTCCTTCTAATAATAGCAATAGCTGCCATTTATACATCAACTTTAGGTTTGCAAAGCATTTTACGAGTTTTGTCTCATTTTATCCTTACAACAGCCCTGTGAGGGTAGGTGCTGTTACACTATCTCCATTTTACAAGTGGGGAAACTGAGGCAGACCAGGTCCTCTCTAGAATGCTTGCTCTGTAGGTAACCAGCTCCTTTCATCTTAAATCTTTTCCTTTCCCTCCATCTCCTGTCTGCCTCCCTTTGTCACATTGGCGGTGCTTCCCCTCATTTTTCCTAGCTCACTGGTTGAGTTGGGGGTGTAGGAATACTGCCACTTCCTAGCTCTCCCTCTGCCACCATCACTCATCACTTCTTCCCTGAGGCTCCCTCAATGCTTATCTACCACCCACTCCAAATTCTGGTGGCTGCCCTCTCCTGACCTCCTTTGTTCATTCAGTGCCCGACTCAGAATCCTTCTCTCCTCCTTTCAGTGTACATATTGATGCTCCCTCAAACACCCCAACCTCCCAGCTCCTCCAGCCCCCCTCAGCCAGACCCACAGAAGCACCACCGCCGCGTTCATGAGCTCTGAAGTACCCTCATCTGGTCTCGATCTACTGTCGCTCCTCCTCTCCCTCTGCCTTTTAACCCTAAGCCCTGTTCTCTCCCAGGCCATCACCCCTCTGCCAGCTCTTCTCTCCTTCCTTGCCCATCCTAACCCCTTGGTGACTAGCTCACCTCCATTCTGTCCTCTTTATCCCCTTGCTCCCTTTAACATAGCAGTGATGTGGCCCTACCAGGCCTCAGCCTCAATGACTCTCACCACCCACTGCCTTCACTGCTGTGCATGTTCTGCTGAATAGAGCTGGAGGAAAATCACGAGTCCAGCAAAGATGTATGTCACCTAGCCTCAGGTGGGCCCTTGCTGCTGCACGGCCGTCCTGCTCCACCACCCTCATCTAGTCCCTGTCTCACTGCCCGCAGAGGCTCCTCCAGCCTTCCGTGCCGCTCTCCTCCCCCAGCAAACTCTCTCCCTTGTCTCCAGTGAAACGAGTGGGGAGAAAGTAGAATGCCTTCCCACCATTCCCCCAGCTACAGTGGGCCAGTCCTGAGGGCACTTGTTGGGGCTGGGGCTGCCCTTGCAGCCAGCTGGCTGGTGTTTGTCTGACAGCCAGGCCAGCACGTACTGCTTGCATACTTAGTGGACAAGAGTCGTGGCACCGTGGATGACAACGGGCCTGGTCTTGTTTTGGCTTTGTTCACTGACATTCACCTGGCAGTGTGGTTGTGACTGGTCTGAAGGACTCAGCTGTTGTGTCAGGCAAGAAAGCAACATGTTCACACCGTTTTCATTCGACTCCACTGGTCTTCTGTGCTTCTGTCTCGCTGTGACATCTCAGCGAGACCTCATGGTTTCTCGAAACTGTTCGTAAAGTCCCAGCCCTGACAGGTCCTAACAAGGTGGAAAAGCTTGGAGTTGTGGCCCTGCTGCCATGACCGGGTATGCTGTGTGCTGACGTGCACTGCCCCAGCTAGCTTCGTTTGGAGAAGCTGCATCTGGGAGCTCAGCCGCCGGGTCTCTCCCGAATGGGAAGATCCCTACAGCCGAGATGGTGTATCACGGGAGAGTGGTCCTGCAGACTTTCTTGAAGCATTGAAGAGAGTAAAAGAGGGGAGCCAGCCTGACGGAGAGACCCGGCATCAAGTCTACACTAAGATCAGTTACAAGAAGTGGGGAAGAGAAGATTTGGAAAGACACGATTTTCCTCTTCAACTACCAGAGGGGTTGATGTATGAAAAAAGGGGTAGACTTGGTCAGAACGGGGTTTGGGTCAGGGAAGTTAGAGGGAGGCCAACCCAGGAAGCTTCCCGTCACTGGAGATACACGAGTTGAGGCAGAAGCCACCTTTTGGGGACGTCAGAGGATAGCAGTGAATTAGGCCTCAGGTTGGAGTAGATGACCTTGACTGCCCCTTTGACGTCATGGTCACCTGGGCCCTGGATGAGTCACTTCCAGGCCTCTTCATGGCACTGTCCTTCACTTCAGAAGTTAAGCAGCCAGTTAATTGCAATTAACTAACATTCAAATCCACATCGGAATGTTGGTTTCTGGACTCCCGGTCCATTGTTTCTTCTATGTTAGCCCCGACTCCATTTGTCAAAGACAGAACCCAGAGTCACGGGACCTTTTTTGAAAGGAAAACCCAAGCACCGTGCCAGGCCCCTTGAGGGGAATTCAAAGAAACCCAAGACCCTCCCTGCCCACAAGCTGCCTCTAGTACCATGGAGAGTGAGCTCTAGAGGCGTGACTGGCTGGAGAACAACAGAGACCTGCAGCCTGGGACCCCAGCAAAGGCAGCATCCTGTGCAAAAAACCTCGGACCTGGAACTGGGGGCCTTGGGGTGTGCTGCTCCATGACTGTGGGGCCAGAGGTCTCAGGCTTCGCCCTTCTAAGCCTCCCCTGGCTCATGCGGAAAAGAGAGATAGTGACACTTGCGTGACGCACATCTCAGAGTCCCTGTGAGCAGACGTAGCTCTGTACAAACCTGAAAGCCCTCTAGACACACATGCTCGTTCTCGGGGGAAGCTCACGCAGGCCAGAGGCAGGCCAGGACTCAGAACTGCCAGACCCTTAGAGTCACCACTGGCCAGGGCCTGGGCAGAAACTCGGTCCGGCAGCGAGAAAGCCTTCCTGCTGAGGAAGATTGGTACACCAGAAAGATGACCACTGCACTTGAGGCCTCGTTCCCCTGCCGTATGCAGTGTTGGGCACGCCTGCTGTTTTCTGTGAGCTTCACAGAGAATGAGGCGTTGGATTAGTAATTTCTGGGGTCTCTTCTAGCTCGAAGTCCTGTGTTCGGATCTAAAATTAAGCAGACTCACAAAACCAAAAATGCATTTATTAAAATAAGATGATTATAATTTATTAAAATACTGAGTTCCCAATTCTCCTCACTCCTTGAGAAAGCACGCAATTTGATAGATTATACACGTGCACAAAATACTTCCACGTTAGTTGTGTTGCAAAAGAAAACGCAGACCAAAAAACCAAGAATAATAAAGACTGGGGGCAGAGCGCTAAATCAGAAGACCATGACAGTGACACCAGCAAGGTGATGAGAGCTCGGCCTAGGGTGGAGTACAGAGAAGGAACACCCAGAACGTGTTATGCAAGGAGAAGCCACAAGCCGTGGCGGTGTGCCAAGGGAGTTAACATGCAGAAAGATGGTGGTGCCCTCGACAAAAACAAGACTAGGATGGAGGTGACACGATGTGAAGAGGTCTTCAGTGCAAACTGGTGCCGCCGCCTCCTGTCCTACTCCAGCAGAGAGGAGAGGCGGGGCTCTCACTGGGCACTGCCCCTCCCCCAGGGGTGCGTGAGGCAGCGGCTCAGTGATTGGGGGGCAGAATTTCAGCTGCTGCTGTGGCTGTCCTGCGAGTGATGAGGTTACAGCTGCCCCAGGCTGTGGTGAGGTGACCCCTGGAGTCATGCCATAGTCCTCACTTGGAGGCCATTGACACATGACCCTTGATAGTTCACTAACCACTGTACGCATATTATCTCATTTACGTTCACAGCGTCCTTGTGGAAGCCTGGGCTTGGGCGCCCTAGTTAACAGATGAGAAGACAGGCGTGATAACGCGCCCGCGGCAGTGGTGGAGTCAGTTCTTACCAGCGGTGCCGTCGTCGCCCCCCTTGCTGTTCTGTGAAAGAATACATCTTTTTAGTGACAGGAAAGCCGGGTCTTCCAGAGACAGTGTCTCTTCTTTGGATGGAGAAACTACTTCTCTTCTCTGACTCTGTTCCTGGGCTTCCTTCAGCTGTTGTTACAGTAGACTTCCTGTGCGTTTCAACAGACTTTTCCTCTGGGTGTTAGAATTTCTCAGGTTGCAGAGCGGTTTCTGTTGGTCAGGTCCCATTTTAGAGAGGCTGCTCTCCTCCCTCCTCCGGTGATGCTGCTGACTCAACCCTAGACGGGCCCTCTGCAGAGCACCTGGGGCAGCTTACTTAGGAAGGCTTTCCTGTAGTAGCCTCTACCTCAGCCTCATCACAGGGGAAGGCCCCCTTCTGGCCTTGTCCAGATGTGTCGATGGCATCGGCGCCTTCACGCAGACCTCTTCCCCCAAGTCTGCTTCTCACAAGCAAGGCTCAGCTCGAGCGTCTCCGCCCCTGGAGCCTGCCATGATTTCAGACCCCTCCAAGCCACCTGGGAGAGCTCTGTGTCTTCAGAGCAGCTGCTCTTCTCTCAGGGCAGGGACTGATGCGTTTTTGTCTTTGGGCCCCTAGCACAATGCCCCGCTTCATGAGTATTTGTGGGATTTAATTAAGGAGTTGCTGTTGTTGTCAGCAAAGCATTTGACCAAGCTTTTCCCACCATTCTTGTGTGTGAGAAAGCGACAGTTGACTGAGTTAGTGAGTGGTTGGATGACCAGACACCGGGAGTCGTCCTCCGCAGGAGGAGGTCGCCTGGAGGTCAGGGTTGGGCCTGGGCTGTTGAACGTTTTTCTCCGTTTGTTAGGTTTTGTTTTTTATCACTGATTTGGTTAAGGCATAAACAGCACGTTCAGCCAGTTCGCAAACAGCACGAGGCTTTGAGGGATGGCTGAGACCGGCAGGATCCCAAAAGAAGTGACCGGTCCATGGTCAGTGTTGGACCATGCCTAAAAATAGGCAGTGGAATAGAGATAAGTGTGAAGTCTTATGCTTGGGTGCAAAGAAATGAACTTTACCAGTACAGGATAGGTGGGGCTGGAGGAAGGAGGTCAGGTGTGGACAGATGGACAGAAGGACGTTCGCTGAATACATGTGAGTGTAGGCAGGCAGACGTTGTTAGGCGCTTACTGTAAACGGGACAGATTTTCTGCTAAGCACTGGGGATACAAAGACAAAGCCAAAACAGCCCCTGCCTTCAGGAAGCTTACGTTCTCAGAGAGTCACCTCATGCATAAATAAGTACCTACAGGATACATCAGAACCGAGAGAAGGGAGGGAGCCTTGGTCACGGAGCAACGTACATAGTTTAGGACCACGGAGGACACGAGTCCTGCTGTCTTCTGCCCTGGTCAGGCCCCACCTGGAGCCTCGTGTTCAGTGTGGGTACCCCATTCCAGGAAGAAATGGGGATCTGGTCAGCTGGAGAGCACAGTCATGGTGGGAACGGGCCTATAGACCATGGAGCCAGGCCTCAGAAACGGTTGAGTCTAAGCCCCTTGTTAATTTACAGAGGTTAGTGACTTGCCCAGGGTCACACTGCTGATGAGGATCCAAGGCTGTATTTAACCCAGGTCTCTGCCTCTGGTCCAGCTCTGAGCCTAGAGAAGAAGACGCCTGGGGCCAGGGCGTGACGGCCCTCGACGTCCCACTGCTGCATTCCAGCAGCAGGTGGGGGAGGGCTCATGTGCTCGGCCTTTTGTTCCCTTCTAGGGTTTACACGGATCTCCAGCAGGTGCTCAACAACCTCAACCATCCCCGGTTTCAGTTCACCACCACGGAGGCCGAGGCAGACATCTTGTACAACTTCTCACATTTCAAAGACTACAGGTACGAGCCCCCCACGTCTCCCTCCCGCAGCCTTCAGTGATGCTTTTTATTCTTTGTACCAGTGATTTTCCCCTTCTGTCCCGCCACCCCGGGTAACCCTCCCGATTGAGACCCAGTGACAGTCTGTGGTCAGCCGCACTGCACTCCTCTGGTCCCCCGGCTCTTTTCTAGAAGCCGTCTCTTCTCTGGAGCCAGGGCTCGGGCCTGGGCGGGTTGGGCTTGCTCAAGTGTCATCTCCGTTCGTATTACCGCAGTTGAGTAGAGTTTCTGCGGCTCCGCTGACTTCATTCTGCATCTGTCCGCAGAAATCTTCGTGTTTCTCCGAATCCCTCCCGTTTGTCTTGTCTCACGGCACAGCACGTTAGTCTCGGTCTTGTCTGGGGCTTCTGTCTTTCTTCGGTACTTGAGCTTATTGCAGACGGCATGAAGCTGGTTGTCACAAGACCCGGCCTCAGGTCCCCGCCCTTTGACTTCACGAAGCTCTTCCCCGGTCTGAGCCCCAGTGTCCTCCTGCAGGATTTTGAGTTGGAAGAGATGTTGTGAAATCCAAACGACAGGGAAGGTGCAAAGGTAATTTGTGTAAATGTGAGTTTTTACTGTAATTGTAGGAAATTCAGTGAGGAAAGGCCTCACGTGATGCTCAATCAGTTCCCTTGTGAGAACCTCCTGACGGTGAAGGACTGCCTTGCCTCCATCTCCAGGCGAGCCGGGGGGCCTGAAGGGCCTCAGTGGCTGCCCAGGACCTTCAACCTCCGGACGGAACTGCCGCAGTTCATCAGCTACTTCCAGCAGCGAGAAAGGAGGTAACTCATTAGTGACACGCCTGAGGGCTTCCTGCCCCTAAGCGGGCCCTGCTCCCTGCACCGTCCAGGCCCTCACGTCCTGCCGGGAGCAGCGGGCTGGACACCCCTGGCCTCCAAGTCAGAAGGCCTGGCGGCAAACCCAGGCTCCACTCCTTAGAAACCTTGTGACTCTGGGCAAGTGACATTTATCTCCCTGACCCTCCGTTTCCTCATCTGTAAAGTGAGGAGACTCCTGCCCGCCAACAGCACATAGGAAGCTTTCTCCGGGTGTTTCGGTTGCCAGGTGACTGCCCGAATCACTGGGCTGTGAGGGGAAGGCCCTTTAGAAAGGCGAGGGGTTGATGGCCTCCTTCCTTTGCGTCCCTTCTTCCTCCCTGTCCTTGGCGCTCTGCTCGGAGCTCGCCAGGAGTCTGTATCGAGGAAGAAGCTGAGCCCCAGAGGGTTGTGGGAGGACTCCCAGCCAGCCTGGGGACAGCGCAAGCTCTTAGCAGAGGCTTCTTCCATTCCCCAGAACATGGAGGTTTATGAAGCACTTTTTCTCACAGCGTCAGTGTGGGATGAGCCTGTTACCCTCATTCTACAGGTGAGGAAGGTGAGGCTGAGAAAAGCTCAAAAAGCTAGTAGGCAGCAGGTCTAGAACTCTGTCCCCTCTACCACATTGCTTTTTATCCGTGACACCAGGTGGCACAGTGGATAGAGCGCTGGGCCTGGAGGCAGGAAGTCCTGAGTTCAGATGTAGCCTTAGGTGCTTACCAGCTGTGTGACCCTGGGCAAGCCACTTCACCTCTGTCCACCTCAGTTTCCTCAACTGTAAAATGGGGATCATGACGGCACCTCCCTCCTGGGTTGTTGTGAGGACTAAGTTGTTATTCATAAAACCCTCAGCACAGTGCCAGCAGAGGAGGTGCCCGGTAGAGGCTTGTTCCCTTCTCCCCGCTTTAAAAAGACCCCAAGACCTCTTTGTCTGAGTGGTGGTGTGTGTGTAACAGAAAGGAAACCTATAAAACCAAGGCAGCTGGATGGGATTAGTCAGGCAAGATGAACTCCTGCGAAAGGCGTTTCCGAGACAGAAAACTTCCAAGTGCGGATCCCTCTGGGAGTGGTCATGCATCCAGCTGCCCTGCTCACCGGGAATGTCCCTCGACTGGTCCTCGGTCTGCCCTTTGCGGCCGTGCAGAACGTGTGGCTCATCTTTCGGGGGGAGGGGGTGCTTAAGTGTCATGTGAAGAGAGCCTGGCAGTGGTGGAGAACTGCAGACTTGGGACACAGCAGCCTAAAAAATGAGTTTGGACAGCCTGAGATTGGCTGGATGTAGCCATCTGGAAAAGGGGCTGTCCTGATCAGCCGTGGTGAGTGCGTCCAGAGGAGGGCCGCACCAGGGTGGGGAAGAGCTGGACGAGGATCCCATGCGGCAGCTAGGGATGCTTCAACCTAGACAAGACTGGGGGGCCTACGATAGCTGCCTGCACGTGCTGGAAAGGCTATTTATTGTTTCCTAACTGGTCCTGCTTAGCCCAGAGGGCTTAACATCAAACCCAGGGTAGGCATTTCAGAAAGGTCTTCCTGACAGTGGGAGCTGTCCAGAAGAGGAAAGGGCTGCTTTGGGAAGAACTGAGGTACTCTGCAGTGGAGGTCTTTCCCCTCGCTGGGAAAGCTGTGTAGCACTGCTTTCCCAGGGTGTGCACGTGCCTTTAGGCCAGTGCTCAGAGCCAGCGAGGGAAGCGTCTGGTTTGTGCATCTGAAGCCTGTCTGGCTGTGGTCAGGGAGCCCTGGGCCAGGCCCACAGCAGGGTTGTGAGACAGCACATTGTGGGTGTCCAGGAGATGAGGAGACTGCCTAGCTGGCCGCCTCAGGAGCCTTGTACCAGAGGGCCGTGTCGCGGGATAACGTTTGAGGGAACCAAGAGTGTTCGGCTGTGGGGAGGACACGCTAGCTGTCTACACAGGTCTCTTGAGCCCTGGGTGGAAGATGGCTTGGACAGTGGAGGCCACAGGGCATCAGATTTGACTGAATGTCATGAAGAGCTTTCTAGGGCAAAATAACAGAAAACCAGCGTGGTGTGGTGCAGAGGAAAGGAAATGTAAAGTGGGCCGGCCCAGGTCTGACTCTCACTCTGCTGCTCAGGCCTTCGATCCCCTGGGCTCCACCTGTCCTACACATCGAGGAGAGGGCTGGCCTTGGTGGGCCTTCAGGGCTTCTTCAGTTCTGAAGTTCAGGGTTCTAAAGTGGAGCTGGCCACTGCACCAGAAGGTGAGCTGCCCATCACTGGAACGGAGGCTGGAGGACCACTCGTCACAAATGTCCAAAGAGATTTCTGCTTGAGATCAGGGTCGGACTAAGAATCCCCCTTCTGAAATTCTGCGGTTCTTTTCCTGTGCTCCCAGGATGGACCAGTGAGCAGAGGGCAGGTGCCAGCCCCCTCCTGTCTAGAACGGTTAGGCTCCTAGGAAGCTTCTAGGAGGGAATAACGTTCAGCCCAGCGCACACAGATGCAAAGTGAATGTGTCCCTCATCCCTTCCAAAGAGTCAGGCCAGACCAGGCTAGATGCCGGTCATTCTGAAGACTCTTGGGAATTTTCACCTACCACATTTGAGCCCATCAAGAGGTTGTCAAAGTCCCCATTCATCAAGGACCATCTGGGAATCCCTGGCTCTTCCCATAATTCCGGCTGCATTCAAATGAAACCTGGGGTCATGTTGGGGGTCGTTTGGGGAGGATGCTGAGCCTTGTAACCAAGATTGCTTTTTGTCACAGGGGAGAAGACAATCATTGGATATGCAAACCATGGAACTTAGCTCGAAGCCTGGACACTCACGTCACTAACAGCCTCCGAAATATCATCCGCCTCCGAGAGAGCGCCCCGAAGGTGAGTCAGAGCAAGGGCCGGCCCGCCACAGCTGAACGTACAGAAAACTGTGATTACCTGCATTCTTTACATATCTCAGAACATCAAGGTGGCCCTTTGAGTCACCGCACACCTGCCCATCACCTCCAGCCTCCCCGGCCTTGCTCAGTGTGGGTTTGGAGGCACTTTTCCAACTCACTGATACACACACGCGAGGCAGGGGACGTGTCACGTCAACTCTGCGTTACCCAAAAATCCTGTACACGGCACCAGCCCTTCATGGGCCGGCCCTGCTCGGCCACTTAGAAGGTGGGTGACCTGGGAAGTCACCTAGTCCCCTGGGCCTTTGTTGTGTGGCCTGTCCAATGAAGACAGCCCCGTGTCCCTGCCGACCTCGCTGGGTGGTCAGGTCCTGATTAGACCAGCTAACGTGTACGTACATCATGAGTGCAAAGAATAGTTTCAGAATTACAGTGCTTCTTTAAGCCGAGGTGGTTGTAGTGACCGTAGTGAGGCCGGTCGTGCAGTTACAAAGCTCCTGGTGAGTCATAGCTCCCATTTTTGTGCACCAAAGTGTGGTCTGCCTCGCGATTCTCCCTTAGGCAGGTGGCCTAACTTCTGTGGTCTCAGTTTCCTTATCTGTAAAATGGGAGGTTGGACCAGATGTCTCGCTCTAAATCCGTGAAGCTCGTGAGGCAAGCCGTGCTGGCAGGATCATCTCCTTTTAACAGCTGGTGAAGCCAAGGCTCCCGAGGGGAACATGAGCTGACCATGGTCACACAGTTAGTATCGGAGCCATCTCCTTGCTGTAAATAAGCCCAGTGCTCTTGCTACTGTACTGTGTAGGAGAGCACTTTTTTCTTTCTTGAGTGATTTTTTTTAAACAGTTTTTTCCTAATGATATATGGGGGGGAGTGCCCACGTGCGTGTGCCAAAGCTTGCTTTTGAGCCAAACAAGTAATGCTGAGGAATCACAGCCAGCCCTCGGAAGTCTGGGGCCTGCATGGTCGGGAGCGTCCGTTGTCCATTCCCGTTTCGTCCGTCATCTCCCCCAGGTGGTCTCCAAGTACATAGAGAGCCCCGTCTTATTCCACCGAGAAGATGTGGGGATGGTCAAGTTTGACATCCGCTACGTCGTGCTGCTGCGCTCCGTCAGGCCCCTGAGACTCTATGCCTACGACGTGTTCTGGCTTCGATTCTCCAATCGGTAATCACGGGGAGCTGGGGGAGGGGCAGGGGAGCCAGGGCTCAGCTTTTACTCGTCCCTTCTTCCTTCTCCCTGTGTCCGTCCCAGGGCTTTTGCACTCAATGATTTGGATGACTATGAGAAGCACTTTACTGTGATGAACTATGACCCAGACGTGCCACTGAAGCAGGTGAGTAGAAGGGTCCGCCGGGCACGGGGTGGGAACTGGGCTTCAAATTCATCTGAGGATAGCTGGGAAGAGCTGCAGGTAGGCGCATCCCAGAAACAGCAGGCTGAGGGCCTAGAGGAGACTGGCTGGCGAAGCACGCAGGTCACCAAACTGTCACCAGCATCAGTGTCCAGACTGGTGCTGAAACAGAGTCAAAGATGATGGACATGTGAGCCTGGGGGAGGTGAGCGGTTGCTGGGGTGGAAGGTGAAGGAGGCTTTGTCCAGAGGGGCTTGGAGGAGGGCTGGCAGGCGTGTGCCAGTCAGGGCACAGCCCGGACACATGCGGGTGGGAGCTAGCGAGGAGGCCCGTTTGACAGGACAGTCTGGCACCAGATCATGGGGAGCCTGGAAGTGCAGGCCGAGGATTTAGACTTGACTTGGTGGGTCGTAGACAGCAGCTGCAGGGCTTGGGGAGGTCTCGCGTCCGAGGAAGGTGTGTGCCTCTGCCAGGGATGAGTGGGGACAGATGGGAGTGGAGGCAGGAAGCCGTGTTAGTGGCTGTTGCTAAAGCTTCGAGGCTCCGACTGGGTTTGGGTGAGAGACACTGCGGGGCTTGCGAACTAACTGATCAGCCGCGAAAAGGGCGGGAAACGCTGGATTTCAGAGTCCGGCAGATCCAGCGCATGAGATTATATACTGCCCATGCCAAAGAGTAATAGACCCTCCCCGGAGCACCCGGCCTAGAATCATACGATCTGAGAGGTTGCAGGGGCTTCCTCCCCAGCCTGTCCCCAGAACCCCTGAGATGTGACCCCCTCTTTGGAGGAGGGTGCAGAGAAGACCGCGTCCGGGGAGGCTGGGTGTGCACGCTGCCCCCACGGGGCCCGGGAGCGGTCGGAGAGGGGCAGGTTCATGGGCTTGCTCTGTTTCAGGTTCACTACGATGAATTCATTCCCCTGTTTGAGAAGCAGTACCCAGAATACCCGTGGCAGAGTGTGCAGGTAGGTGCGCCTGTGGGGGGTGAGAAGCATCGCACAAGAGGCCAGCTGCTAAGGGCCTTCCCTCCCCACCCCCGTGGGCATGGGGCTTAAGGCCCTGCTGGGGGAGGCAGGGCAGGGCATGGGAGAAGGCTGCTAGTTACTGTGCCCCTTGACCCAAGGAGTGCAAGGATCATTGTCTCCATTGTGCTGATGAGGAAACTGAGGCTCAGCGAGATGAAGGGACTTGTCTCTGGGGTTAGCTCTGCCCTCAGCCTCCCCTCACTGTCTTGTGCTGGCCTCTCACGGATGTCCACTCGTGATGGCAGGGGCCTCGAGCACCTACTTCCCCAGTCCAGTACTTGGCACAGGGCTTTGCGTGCTCGCATAGATGACCCTTTTCTGGGTCCTGAGGAAACAGCCCCTTGTTGGGTTCCAGGCCACGTCCTACTGTAGGACCTCTCCCAGACAGCCTGGCCTTTGGACCTCCCAGGAGCCCTACTGGATGAGTGGAGCGGGGAGGGCAGGCTTAGGAGAAGCGTCCTTGACCCCTAGCGATGCCCCTAGACAGGCAGCTCGGGCGCCTGAGCCAGAGTCCCACACTGACCACGTGGGTGCAGGGGTGGAAGGCCTCGACCCCCCTCGTCCTCATCCTTCCCTCCTCAGGCCGACATCTTCAAGGCCTTCACCGAGCTGTTCCAGGCCGCGACTGCCAAGCCCGCGCCTCTGGGGGTCTGTGACTACCCTTCGTCTAGAGCCGTGTATGCCATCGACCTCATGCTGAAGTGGGACCACGCTCCTCCTGACGGTGAGAGAGCCCCGCACCTTTCTCCTTTCTCCCCCTCCTTCCCCAGGGGCTCACCATGATCTGGTGCCAGACTGTCCTGTCAAACGGGTCTCCTCGCTAGCTCCCACCCGCATGTGTCCGTCTTGACCCGTGGCTCGTCCTTTGGACCTCACGTAGCCCCGGGTTTTCAAAAGCCCCTCAAGGACTTCCGTGGAATGATTTGCATTGTGGTCTCTTGTGTTAGCATCAGGGTGCCTCCAGACTTGGCGCCACACTCTCCTCACGGTAGGAAGCTGTGGAGCTGGACCTCCTGTCCTGGACCTGGAGAAGGCGGTCCAGCTGGAGCACCCCCATTGCAGTCTCCCCCAGGTCCAGCCGTGTGCCTGCGCGGCCCTCGCTGTGACCCTCCTCCCACCCGGGCTCTGGCCTCGGGACCGCAAGAGCTCTTGAGGATGGGGGTTTGTTAGGCTGGAGGGGAAGGGCAAGAGGGTCCTTGTTTTCTTAAAGGAAAGTGTGCTTCGGGGCAGCTAGGTGGCGCAGTGGATAGAGCACCGGCCCTGGAGGCAGGAGGACCTGAGTTCAAATGTGACCTCAGACCAAACACTTGACCCTTACTAGTTGTGTGACCCTGGGCAAGTCATTTAACCCCAATTGCCTCACTAAAAAAAAAGGAAAATGTGTTTAAGAGGCTTGTAAGGTCCTCAGTCGTGGGAGGTGGAAGGGCCGCTTATTGAGGCCGGCCCCTGAGGGAGCAGAGGCCCAGAGATAGAGGACTTCCCTGGGCTGAAACAGCCAAGAACTGCCAGAGTCGGGCTTCGTGCCTAAGGCTCCTGCTGGTGCGTCTAGCTCTTTCTCCTGTGCCCTCCTGCTGCCATTCCCAGAGGCACCTGAACCCAGAAAACGTTTCCTGCGTGGGCACCCCCCTGACGTCCCCCATTGGTTCTCTGAAAACACTGCACAAGACCCGGTGGTGGCCAGGCCTCCAGGAGGCTTTGTGCTGGGGTTGTCTCTGACATGCTGTTGACGTCGGCTGCGCTGTGTTGTACGGGATATAACTGAATGGTTCTTTGTACATTTCTCGAATGTTTGTCAAAAGAGGAATTACAAAGAGGGCTAGTCTGTGCTTTGCCGTAAAGTGGGCCCCTCAGGTGGGGCTCGTGTGGTCCAGAGCAGCCTGGCGTCCTCCGGAGCCCAGTGGACATTGTTTAGGACACATTCAGTCCTGTTCCGGGCCCAGGACTCGGGTGACTCAGTCCATCAACAGACAGTTGATTATGTGGAGCTGAGAAGGGAGGGCGTGCCGGGCCCAGGGTCTGGCCAGTGAGAGACATGGCAAAGGTGGACGGAGGGAAGGCTGGTCGGGCTGGGTCAGTGTCCAGGGAGCCTGGGAGACTGGGCAGGAAGCAAAGCGCTTCCCAAACTTACACGGGAATTTGTGCTGTTCCTAGAGGCAGTAGGAGTCGCTGGAGCTTGGGGAGGGGAGCTGACACGGTCAGGGCACTTTGGTAGCTGTATGGAGAGCGGCTTAGAGGGGAGAGAATGAGGTGTAGGGGGTGGCCTCCGTGTGGGGAAGGGAGATGGCGTCAAGGGCTGGTGGGATGCAGAGGGGGCAGGCAGGACGAGGGCCCCTGGTCCCTGGAGCCTCTGCTCTGTGACTCTGGGGGGTTCCTGAGCTGAGAAGGAGGCAGACTGCTTTGAGGCCTCAGGGAGGGAGGGGTGACGTCCCCCAGACTTGGCAGTTTGGCTATTTCCTCCAGCTCTGGGCGGCAGCCCCGGAGGCAGTGGGCCGTGTGTGTGTCTGTGTAGAGGAGACGAGGGCAAAGGGCTCTAGAGTAAGGGGTGGTGGGGAACCGGCAGGGGGAGAGCCCAGGGCGGTGGGTGGGCACCGGATACCCCCAGTGTGACCCGCTTGTGTTTGACCCCAGGCAAGAAAGTCATGCAGCCCCAGATCCTCGAGGTGAACTTCAACCCTGATTGTGAGCGGGCCTGCAGGTACCACCCCGACTTCTTCAACGATGTCTTCAGCGCTTTGTTCCTGGATGAGACCAAGAACAGTCACGTGACCTGCATCATCTAGGCCCGGCGTATTCCCTCCCCTCCCCTGTGCTTTCTCCCTCATGTGCTTCAGGGCCCAGAGACAGAGCGACCTTCCGGGGGCTTTGGGGACTCAGAAGCTGGATGCCGATGGGGCGTGTCTGCTAGTGACCGGGGCACGCGGCTGCAGCCCAGGCAGACCCGGACGTGTGCGTTCACGGGTTCCCTCACTGCCGGCCAACATCGGCGGGTGCTTCGTTCTGTGATTTCCCCCTTCCCGAGTGTAAAGTCTTCTGGAATTGGGGTATCCCCACACTTAGCAAGAAAAGGAGAGCTTCACCAGCAGCCTCAGCACCATGGTCAGAATCCTCCGGGGAAGAGGGTGAACATTTGCCAAAGAACCTTTTTGGTCTGTGTGTAATTAGAGCTCGTCTCGTGCGCGGTGGTTTACGGCCGCAAGTATCTGAAATTGTTGGCAGGACGTGTGTTCCCATTTTGCGGGTGAGGAAACTGATTTACAGGAGTGGAGGTGGGTCATCGCGGGTGCCAGAGGGGCTCGGACCTCGGCTCAGGCGCTTTATCACCATTTCAGGATTACACGTGCGCACGCGCGTCTCACTGCCTTCACTCTCTGTTGTGCACAGTTGTCTAGATTTCAAGACCCAATAGCCCTGAAGCTGCTTGGTGCCCATTGGTTTTCTCTGAGCCCTGAACATCTGAGTCTGTTTTTTAAAAAGCTTAAAGACTCTTTTTGAGGTGAGCCTGAAGAAGTCGTGTTTTGTTTTTCGTCTGAGAAATTGAAATATGTGCTGTGTCGTGAGTCACAGAAACGAGGCCGTCCTGTTTTCCTGTTCGGTCTGTAGTAGAAGTTAGTCGAGGGCCTGAGCCTGTGCCTGGAGCAGATCACTTGGGCTTCCTCAGTTTGCTCATCCACAAAATGGGGCAGTCATCCTCGCCCTGGCTACCTTTCGCAGTAGTGGTGACGACACGTCAGATAACTATGAAGGCTTTGTCGCTGTAAGTCACCGCACAGGCGGGAATGAGTATTCTTATCTCTGCGCGTTACCAGCCCGTGCCCACAGGCCGCTGTCGCTGACCTTTGGCTGCAGGACAGCTGTGCTTCCCTTCCCCCTGCTGGGGTTTTCTGGGAGAACAAGGATCTTGAATGTATTGGGCTCCTCCCCACTTTGGTTTCCTCTCCCGGAGCAGGGCTGTTCTTGGCCCCATTCCTCCTTTGAAGATTTGTAATCACAATAAAGTCCTCCTTCTATTTATCCTGTCCTTGTTGTTCATCTCCGAGGTAGTCACTGGTGCTGGCTCACTCACGAGGGCCCTTTGGCAAATGAAAATCTCGGCATTTGTAAGGTTCTAGAATCCCAGAAGGTCAGCGGCAGTCAGACGTCACTCCAAAGTGTTCCACCCCAATGTCGTGGGTCCCCCTGCATTCCCATGGTGCAGATCGAAGCCCGTCTGCACCACCATCCTCAGGGGTGCTCGTCCAGTGCCTCTTGTGCTCTGGTCACCTCCTGGGCCAGGGCAACGGGCCGGGCGGCCCGTGGCTCCCCCTCCCCCCGCCACATCCAGCAGTCGCTCAATGCCTGCTGTGCCCAGGGTAAGGGTGAAGGGCTTCTGCCCACAAAGCTCAGTAGTGTAACGCACTGGCCGTCAGTAGGGGAGGAGAGCAGCAAAGGCTCCACGCAGGAGGGAGGGGGTGGCGTTGAGATGCTGTGGGTAGGGAATGTGTTCCCAGCATGGAGAGATAGCCAGTGTCAAGGCACCCAGGCAGTAGCTGGGAGGTCGTGTGTGCGGAGCAGAGGGTGAGGGGTGGACAGTGAGGCCTCACAACAAGAGGGGTCCGGGTTGTGAAGAGTTTCAGGAGCTAAACAGTGTTCTATTGGATCTTTGGGGCGATTGGGAGCCGCTGAAGTTTGTGGAGCAGGGGAGTGACAGGGTTGGAGCTATACTTGAACAAAATCACTTTCACAGCCCTGTGGGGGGGGGGGGTGGCCTTGAGTGGGCGGAGCCTGGCACTTGTAGATGGGGCCATGAGGTCCAGGTTAGGCAAGGATCGGAGGGCTACGCAGGCCCTGTTGGTAGAGCTGCTGGACCAGCATTTATTAAGCACCTACTTGAATAGAGGCAGGCAGGAAGGGGTTGGCCCGGAGGACAGGAAGGGAGCCAGATGGGTGCCGTCTCTCTCCAGCCTTGATAGAATGGGGACACGTGGAAACTGTGGAGCAAGGGTGGGGCGGCAATGATCTCCCCTGTACCAGAAGCCTGAGCTTGGCAATGGGCTTTAGATAAATGGAGTGCTGGGGGAAATGTTAGTCATTTAGGAAAACTTCTGTTTCATTGGAAACAAATGCACGCTAACTAGTTTTCTGGACTTTATTTATTAGCCTTTCTTTGGTTCTGGCCCAAGGTGGGGTGGCTGTCTGTCTGAAAGGTTCCTGGAGTTGGGAGTCTTCCCGTTTAGGGAAAGTGAGTCCGGGGTCTGGGCTCCCATCTCCATTCCTCCCAGTTTTTACGCCTTGACACCCCTCCCCACCACCCAGCAGGTCCTTCTCCTTCCTCCTCTCCATCACGGACATCTCATTGTTCAGGCACCCTGCCCAGACTTCCCCTTATCTGAACCTCAGATATCATTTGTCTCTTCTCACGATAACCTTCCCTGCTGTAATTCTGGCATAGCCGAACGTAAGCTCCTTTAGGTTAGGGACTCAAGAGCACAGAAGGTGCGTTACCATCTGCTCTGCCACTGCACCCTAAGGACCATGGGCCGTTCCACCCCCGACTGAAATGAGACTGGCTCGATTTTCTATTTCTGTCTCCAGCACGGTGCGTGGCACTCCGTAAGTTCTTAATAAATGCTTGTTCGTCCACTCATCTACAGCGGCTTACTTCTCCGCATCATCTTGGGTGAGGTGATCTCCTCTCTGGACCACAGTCCCCTGTGGTCCAGACACCATGCCTTGCCTTGCCACCCTCGAGTGACCTGCAGGGACTGTTGCAGGAGGATCGAGGGAGGGGATATTAAAAGGGCTGGGCCAACAGAAGCATTGACCCTGTCAGAGCCTACAGAGGAGGAAATGGAGACCCAGAGAGGTCACTGTCAGGAGAGGCAGCACAGTCTCGCAAAACCTGGGCCAGAAATTATAACCACTAACTAATGGGTCCTTGACCAGATGGACAATTTAGAAGTAGAATTTGGACAAAAGTCCCATTTTAGCGACTGGTTCAATGTCAGGCTGGCATTGCAGCACCCCGGCGACCTGCGCTTGGCCCTGGATTGTTCAATGTCACCTCCTGTGACGCGGTGAAAGTTTAAACGTCACGATTAACACTAAGCTGAGAGGTCTCGCTAACATTCTGGATGATGGAGTCAGGACCCAAAGAGGCATTGACTGGCCGAAGCATTAAGCTGACGGTAATAAGGATGACAGTAGGATTAAATGTAAAGTCTTACACTTGGATCCCCCAAAAATCAATGTCACCAGTCCAAGATAGAGGAGACGATTACACAAAAAACTGGGAGGTTCTAGTGGACACAAGCTCAATGAGTCATGCTTTTAAAAAATTTCTTTTAAACCAGCTAAAAAAAGCTAATGAAATCCTAAGCCGTGTGAAAAGAGAGAGTCCTAATTTCCAGTAATAAGAAAGTGACAATCCCTTTGTACTCTGCCCCTGTTGGATTGTGTTCGTTCTGGGCACCACCAATATCTTTTTAGAAAGGTATTGATAAGGGCAGCTAGGTGGCGCAGTGAGTAGAGCACCAGCCCTGAAGTCAGGAGGACCTGAGTTCAAATCCAGCCTCAGACACGATATTCACTAGCTGTGTGATCCAACTGTCTTGCCAAAAAAAGGGGTATTGATAACCTGGGAGTGTCCAGAGGAGAGTAGCCTTGAGTTAGGACAAAGGAAGATGGATTGGTTGAAGAAATGTGGAGAGGCAGGCGTGTTAGCGGTATCAGAAGGACTGTGATGGGAAATGGGAGGGAATTTAGAACTCAACTTTTTTTTTTTTAATTTTAAAAATAAATAATAAAACTTAGGTCTAAGAACTGAAGCATACAAGGAAGATCATTAATGGGTAAGTTGTCAAACAGTTTTCAAAATAAAAACAAGACTGATGTGAAAGTAGCAGCCAGATTAGCTTGGCTCTGTTTGCAGAACCAGGGGCAATGGGTAGAAGCAGAGGAGAGGTAGACTGAGGTTGGATGGCAGGAAATCATTCCCAGCAATTAGGGGTGCTCTAAAGTGGGGAGAGTGGGGGAGTGGACTCCTCCTCGGAGATCTGCCAGCAAAGGCTGAACCACGAGTTGTGGGGTATGTCTCAGTGGGGATTTCTTTGAGGTGTGGCTTGGACCGTCCCACCCTCCAGATTCTGTGATTCTAGGAGTCCTGGGCCGGCGTTCTGTACGCACACCTGCCCACCCCTTGGAAGACTCTACATACTTAAGTGAGTTTCTGAAAGGCCCCGGGATCTTCTCCACATCAACGTCTGCATCAAAGTATAGTTGTTGAGAACTTTATTTGCATAGAAAAGTTGGGGCCATGAGCCACTCCAGTATTACCAAATGGTGAGACCAAGCTTGGCTTGGCTCTGTTGCTGGTTTATGGTGGAGGTGAGGGTCATTTAAGAAGCTGGAGCTAGTCACAACCCATTTTATATCTTGAGACATCAGTAGGGAATTTTAAAACAAGATGCCACCTTTGGGGTGGCCCCACCCACAGAGGGAACGTGTTTGGTTTCCTTGCCAAGCTGACCCCCTGAAGGAGAAGGCTTCCGGTTGAGAGCCTCAGGTTGGCTTTAGCAAGACCCTTTTCTCGGTCCTGAGACCCGTCTGAAACGGGAACCCCAGAACTCCTTTATTCAGCATCGGAGCGCCGCTTTTTGTCTTTGTTATCCCGCCAGACGCAGTAATTCAGGGTTGTGGCCATCGCCATCCAGGCCAGGTAAGGGTACATGAGGCAGGCGGCTGTCGGGCTCACTGGGTACCAGGCCACGGTGGTGGCCACCGCAGCGCCACTGGTCAGGATGATCTCCACCAGGCCCTGTGGAGGGAGAAGAGGGAGGGAGGGAGTCACTGTCAAGTGAAATGGCAGCCCAGAAACTTCTCAGTATGGAACAATGTCTAGGCGGAAGCTGCTGGTCCCCTTAGCTCAGAGAGGCGGCAGGCCAGGGCGGCGAAGCTTTGGACCCAAATCGGGTGACCCTGACCAAGTCACCTCTCTCGGCCTCTACTTTCTTAGCTGTCAAATGGAGATAACGGAATGTGTACTTAGTACTTCACAACATGCTTGATTGTTAAAAACAAAACAAAACAAAACACTTTTCTAAACCTAAATAAAGCCATGGTGGAGATAAGGAGGAGGGAAATGCCCTTCAAAACACAGCTCAGATCCCAAGTGCTGCACCTGACTGCAGCTCCTAGCAGGTGGTCCTAGTGAATTCCTGTGGCCAAAAAGCTCCTTCCCCTCCACTCTCAGCTAGGCTGATCCCCAGATGAGAGCCACCCAGGCTGGCAGCAGACGGGCCAAAAGCCTTTCCAGCTCCCAGTCTTTTTTTTTTTTGGTGAGACAATTGGGGTTAAGTGACTTGCCCAGGGTCACACGGCTAGTGAGTGTTACGTGTCTGAGGTGACATTTGAACTCGGGCCCTCCTGACTCCAGGGCCAGTGCTCTATCCACTGCGCCACCCAGCTGCCCCTTAGCTCCCAGCCTTCAGGAGCCATGAGGATGCATCAGGAAAGGGGAGAGCAGAGGATCAATTCTGTCATCCTTCCCACCATTATTATTCATCATCGTCATCACCACCGCTTTCTCCCTTGGCTCTCACCAAAGAAACACTTAATGCAACCAAAGGGAGGTCACAGCTGCTTTGCCCACTCTCTGAGGCAGGGATACAAAAGGTAGTGAGAGCCCAGAATCCAAACTTACCCAGCCCATCTGGTGAGCGCCGAAGAATAAGGGTGGCCAGGCCCAGTTGAGAGCCAGCTGCCCTGCATAAAGTCCCAGGGGCACTACGGCCTTCTCCGTGAAGCCCCCCAGCTCCTTCCAAACCAGGTAGGATCCATACCTGAAACAGAAAGGTTTCCTTTTCTGAAACAGATCAGAAAGGAGGTGAGCTCCACGTGGAAGGCAAGGTAGAAAACCAATCTCAGAATCTCCAGCGTGAAAGCCAAATCCGATCCGACCCCAAGCAGACATCCCCTTCGTGGCATTCGTGTCAAGTGGTTCTCCCTCCACCCTCTGCTTGATGGCGAGGAACCCC